CGGAGGGGACCCAGATTCCACATTCTGGCTCTAAGGAGGGGCCCCCTGAGTCCCCTATTCTGTAAAAGCGAGGAAATTGAGGCCCTGAGGGGAGAAGACTTTGCCCCAGGTCCCACAGTGAGGGACAGAAAAGAGACTAGACTCAGAATCTCTATGAGCTCCAAGACCTGCCCTCACCAGAACCCCTGAGTTCTCCCAGTGGAAGCCCCAGGGCATGGAAGGGGTGTGGACTTTGATCCCCCCAGAGTCCTGCTGGAGAGGACCAGCAGGCAGCAGTCCTTGCCTGCTGTAGCCCTGCCTGTCCAGGCAGCTATGGCTGTGCATTTGCCGGGCTCTTTGGAACTCCCCAGTTTTCCCAGTCAGGAAAGGGTCTCCGGGGTAAACTGATTTTCCCCTAGCTCCTTGGGAGCATAGTGACTGGAATATTAGTGTTGGGGCACTGGTCTTGAATCAGTTTCCCAATCTTCCTCTAAATACATCTGCACACACACACACACTCACACACACACACGCAACCCACAGTGACACACACCGACAAACAACTCACAGTCCTGTATACCCACAGTGGCTCACATACTTAGCAGAGGCAGGAATGGTGCTTTTTATAAACAAGCCTCAGAACACGCAGCCCCATTAATAATAAATATGATTACTGCTCCAGGCATCAATAATTAAGGCCCGTTGCAGTAATTACACAATTATGATGATGATGAATAATTTAGGGAGGGAGATGAGCTGGTGTGGCTGAGCCCACCTCAGAGGAACCCCGACTGATCTGCCCGGCCTCACCTGCAGGTGAGACCTGGGCTCCCAGTCTGAATTTTCTAAACTACCCAGGTCCATAGCTTGCCCAGTCCAGTGACCTCCCAACTTCAGGGCCTTACTGGATGCAGAGTTAGCCCCCAGCCTCAAACCTGGGTGTTCAGGGATGGTATGCATATGGAGGTGTGGCAATTTGGCAGAGCCGATGGTGTATGTTGGGCCAGCCACCTTACAGTGGAGGTTTAACTCATGGGGCTTGCTTCCAGTGGTGGCCAGACCTCCACTGCCTCTGCTGCTGTCTCCTGAGTGATCTGACTTCATAAGGTCCTCCCAAGGGACACATATGATGGGGGGGGGGTGGTGGAAAGAGCCCTAGCCTGGAGCTCCAAGGGTTGTGATGAGGCAGGCGAGGTTATGGCCCAGTTTTGGGTGGGATAGCCTGGCTTAAAACATGGGCTTTGCCCTTCTCAGACCACCACAAAAACCACACCTCAGTTTTTTAATCTGCAAAATAGGGATAACAGCCGTGGAAGACCAGTGAAAGATTAAACGAAATGATGCCTGTAATGCATGTGAACAGTGTCCGGTGCTCCGTTGTTTATTAACAAATGGTGCCTCTGGCCTCCCTGCAGCTCTCTGGGCTAAGCATTCGGGAGGGGCAGGGGTGGGCGGCGCTCTCCTCCTGACCCCGCGGTACGCGTTTATTTCGGTCCCCAGGACTAAATGGAAGCGACAGACCGCCGTCGGGCTGGAGCTGCTGGCAGAGGCGGGCAATTACTCAGCGCTCCAGCGGATGTTCCCGTCGCCTTATTTCTACCCGCAGAGTCTGGTTTCCAACCTGGACCCTGGTGCCGCGCTCTACCTGTACCGCGGCCCCAGCGCGCCGCCTCCGGCCCTCCAGAGACCTCTGGTGCCCCGCATCCTCATCCACGGACTCCAGGGCGCCAGCGAGCCACCCCCGCCGCTGCCCCCGCTGGCCGGCGTCCTCCCGCGCGCCGCGCAGCCTCGGTGAGGCGCCCGCCCGCCCCCCGGCCGCGCTCCATGGCCTCGGGCCACGCTCGGCGTCCGTCACTTTCGCCCGCCTCATCGGGCGCTCGCTCCGCGACCCCCCGGGGCGGGGGCTGCCTGGCTCTCCGCGGCGCCCCACCCAGTGTCCCCGAAGGGTCAAATGCCAAGTCCACTGAGGCCCGGACCCAACTGCGGCTCCCTAGCCCCTCGGCGTCCTCTCTCCGGCCGCCCCACTTCTGCGCCACCGCCCGCCTCCAGCCCTCCCGCTCTGCCCGCTCCTCCAGGCGCCCCGTTCCCGCCCCCAGGAGCGGGCGGGGGTGACCCCCTGCCTCGCCCCCTCCCTCTGCCCTTCCCTGCTCGCCGGGGACCCTCTCCCCGCGCCCCTGCGGGCTCGGCGGGGCAGCGGCGCGCGGAGCTCCACCCGCTCAGGCTGCGGCGCCCAGGCCGCGGCTGCGCTGTACATACCGTGTGCAAAGTGTATATGAAGTTATTTATTCGTGACCCATGAGCCCGTGACCGTGTCCGTGAATCAGTGAGTCTGTGGCCTGTGCCCTCCCCTCTGGGTGGGGCAGGGAGGCCGAGGGCTCGCCCGCCGCCCCGGCCCCGCCTCCACCTCCAGCCCGGTCCCCGGGTCAGCCAGGCCTCGTGGGTTCTCTTTTTTAAATGTCGAAATAAACTTCTTACAAACGACCTGGCGCCTGTCCGCGCTCCCGTCCGTCGGCCCGCGCTGAGGCCCTCTCCCATTCCTTGGCAAGAACCGTTTGCCTCCCTGTCCCTCCCGTCCTCCAAAGGGAAGGGGTTTCTCCCCCTTCTCTCCCCTGGCGCTGTGGTCGTGCACCGGGGACCGTGACTAGACTCGCGGGGCCTGGGCAGGGCTCTCCCCCAGCGACCTCAGTCTTCCCATCTCTATAATGAGGCAAGTCCGTTGCTCTCCGCCCCCCTTCCTCTCCATCTGTTCCCAGCCCGTCCTGGGGACTGGGAGGCGCGGGGCCGGCGGCGGCGGGGGTCAGCGCCCGGCCTCGCTCTCGGCTGCAGGCCGGGCTGCGGGCTGCGGTGCCCTGGCTGAGCCAACTCATCTGGCCGCGGCAAGGGCGCCGGCAGCTGGTGACCGGCCCGCCGGGCGTGGGGCCGACAGATGGACTCCGAAGCTGCTACCTCATCATCCCACCCTCCTCTGCCCGGCGACCCCGGCTCTGACGCTTGCGGGCGCCAAGGCGGCTCCCTGGCCTCTAGTGCCCGGTAGAACCCATCGGGCGGTATCCACGAAGCTGACATCTCATCGGTAAACCCCTTTCGCATCCTCCACTGTCCCCTTCACCCTGGGAGTAAGTTAGAATGAGACCCAGACGGGAGTCAAATCCCAGTGTCTAACCCAGGCCTGTCCCTTCCCATCACCCTGGCCTGTGGCTCCACGATCCCAGGGGAGGGAGGGGGCTTGAGTCCTCAGCCAGACTACAGGCCTCTAGATCACGTTCAAAGGGCCAAGGTCACCCCCTGAGACCTTCCTCTGAGGAAGGGGGCACAGGTGCTCCTCTCCCAGCAGCAAAATGGCCAAGGCTCGGAAGTTTGGGTGCCTAGGGAGCCAAAAGCACTCTGCCCACCACCCCTTTGCTGGTAGGATTGCTGGGGGAGGACTGAGAGATGGGGAGATGAGGGGCGTGTTCAGACTATAACCCCACAAACCAGACTCGGGGCTGTTACAGTTTCCTCCCTGGCCCCAGCCCCCACACACCCTGGTCTTTCTTTCCTGGGATGGTGAGGGTATTATTCTAATTTTGCAAAGTGCACAGCAGCTAATTAAGTCAAGGAGCCCCTCGGCTTTCAAGTTCTTTTGCATGTGAATGGGGGCTGGTAAATCCCCAGCTCTGGCTTTGGTGGGGGGTGAGGGGGGACTGTCCCCAACTCAGGGTTAATGAAGTGGGAAAGGAGTCTCTCATAGCCTCCTGCAAACAAAACCCCCCATGCAACAAACCCTGCCCAAATCCTACATGGATTGACTTAAACCCAGGGGATAAGTGCTTTAAATTAATCTCATTGAATAAGAATGAGACCAAACAAAACTCTTTAAAATCATATTAAAAATCTATCAAAGGACAACTTGCACCGGTGTGCTTTTCATTTTGTGGAAGTGGAGGAGGCAGACTGGAGCAACCACCCTTACATTTACACAGCCGCAGTGTAAATCACAGACACGTTCTCAACTATGTAATTGTCCTTGTACCTCAGAGGCGATTTCATATCTTACATTAATGAAGAACAAGGCTTCCCTACAAGTTTATAATTACAATATCTTAAATTGTCCTGCATTTCCCATCTGTAATAATAACCTCACAACCTTAGCTGTAAGGTGGGCTTCTGCTTTCCTCCATTTAGAAGGCCAAATTGGTTTCCCTGTTCCCAGCCCTGGGGGTGGGTAAGCCTTCATTTAAAGGTGGGGGAGGACCCCCAGCAGAGGAACAACAGGGGGTCGTGAGAAGTTGCCTTTCCTGCCTTCCACCAGAGCCTCTCCCGGGACCCTGGAGCAACAGGGCAGGGCGACAGCTGCCAGTTTAGATGCCCACTGGCCCTCTGGCAGTTTGGGGATTGCCAGAGAATCTAAACTGCCTACCCCTATGGGCCCTGCCCTGGCTCCCCAGTGGAGGAACAGGTAAGAGGGGTGAGCGGTCCCTCCTGCCGGCGTGCTGAACTGAGACCTGCCTCGGGAGGCCCTGTCTAGGCCCCTTTCTCCCACAACTCCCCTCCTTTCCCCTGGAGTGAGGGAAATGAAAAAAATCAAAGGAGCCCACTGGGCTTTGTCCACGGTCCTCTGCCAGCCTTCAGTAGCCTGCTTGCATTGCATCTGCAGGCTTAGTCGCTCACCAAGGGCTATGTGCCCTTCAGTGCATGGGAACGGGGCCTTCAGAAGGTGGGCTGCGACTAGCGCTGCAAACAGGGAGATGTTCCGGATTCCAAAAAGGCCTTCGTCTGCCAGCCCACAGGGAGAAAAGTTTTAAGGTCACAGCATTACAGTAAATGTCCAAATTCTCTGACTCTAACATGGCAACCAGGCTTAAGTCATAAATGGGTAAGTTTGGGAAATTAGAAAAAGAGGAACAATTAAAAATACACACAAAATTAGAACTTGTGCAGTGCAATTAGGCTAAATCTTTGCCTAATTGATGCCTGAAATGTATAATCTGTCAGGAGATTTATCTTAGGGTTATTTGAATTTAGACAATATTAACTCTAAATCTGCTAAATCCATGTTTCTTTATTAGGAGGGTGGTAATATGTTGATTTTATTTAGAAGCACACAACACAACATCTCTAGTGAGGCACCCTCACCTGATACTTAGTGAATTAGATATTTGAATTAAAGTCACCACAGTTTGAGAAGTTCTGACAGTGCTTCTGGAGGACTGAAAGACTCTGCAAGTCCCCCTGGACAGAAGGTGTGCTGGGGGCTCACACTGGTGGTCCGGACCACACGTGGCATCCTGTTCTCACAGCTGGGTCTCAGCCGTGAAAAGCTGGTTCCTCCAGTTCTTGTCCAAACCATGTGAAACACACCTACTGCTGCGACCAGCCAGGAGGTGGTGAGGGGCCCTTCTTGCCACCCTCTCCCAGTTCTCCTGGAGCTGCGGGGTCACTGAAGTGCTGCCTCACTCTGTCCTGGGAAAGCCAAGGAGGTTCGGGCCACAGTGCAGAGCAAGCGCAAGGAACAGGCCTGAGTGGGGCCTGGCTCCCGGCTGTCTCTTGTGAAGCCCTCTCATGTCCAGATCTTACATTTATTGGGAAATCAATACGCTCCAGGGGTCCTCTTTCAAACCTCCCAGAGACACAATAGTGGGGGGCAGCTAAGGTCTGGGTCACAAGACAAAGACCCCAAACCTTTCTTGAAGGCAAGATGGGATTTGATGGGAAGAAAAGCCCAGGCCTTTTGACTTGAAAGGCAAGTAATAACAAGGCAACAGAGAGCCGGCCAGCCTCCGAGAGTTTTCCCTGCGCAGGAAGGGAAGTCCACACACCAGGCGACACTGTGGCGACAGAGGAGGGGCAGAAGGCCCACCATTGTTTGTATTTTGACCCAGACTTTATGGTTCTTCATTAAAAAAAGCATTTGAACATAAAGAAAATAACTACTTGACAAATACTTTTTTGTACAAACTCAAGTCCAGTTTTTAACCATTTCACATCATTCATGCCAACACCAGCATGGGCAGGGCAGAGGTTAGGGTTAGGGCAGGGCAGAGGTCAAGCTGTGAAGCTTCTTTGGACAAGGCCACGGGGTGGGCGAGGGGAGGGTGCCATCACCGCAGACCGCGCTGGTGCTGGGCGTCCGGCACAGAGGAGCACCTGTAAGACCTCTCTTCTGCCGTCACCTGACTAGTGGACCTGCTGGCTGCCCCTCCCCACTCACTCCATCGTGGCTCCTCTGCCAAGGGGTCAGGGCTGGCCCTGACGTCTGAGTCCTGGGGTCTGGGTGTCCAGGGAGAGGTGCCTCCTCTGATGAGAACAGGCCTCAGAGCCACTCGGAGGCCTAGTCCCAGGGAGGAGAGGAAGTGCTGCTGTCCTCAGTTGTCTCCGGGTTTTCTGGCTCCAGGGTAGTTCTGTTTTCCCTTGGCTACAGGTTTCCTGATGGCTTCGCCTTCTGGCCTCCTCTCGAAGCCTCCAGGCCACTTGCATATTCAGAGCGCAGGACCTGGGCGAGATGGTGTGTGCTCTGGGTCTTCTTGCGAAGGCCGGGCCTGGAAGACAGGGGCAGCAGAGGGAAAGAAACTTTAGTATGCTTTCCTCCTGTTTGGAAAGAGGCTGGCGCAGCTGGCCCTGAGACGGAAGCTGACATTTCTGTATTAATAGAAGTGCAATCCCTTCAATGTGCTTGTTTTGATATTCTATGCACCGGAAGATTAGATACGGCGCTGACAGATTTTCATAATGGTGCAAAATATCATGGCATTTTTAAAAGTGAGGCTTTGTTCTGTGTTGTTTTTATGAGAAAAAAAAAAAAACTCTACATCCTCAAACTCTGATGGTAAATGAGGCGTGTGATATAGCAGTCTGCCAAAGGATCAGAAAACCTACCAGAAGACTCAACAACACAAAGCCATGAGACCTGTCGGTGTTCTAGTGACCTTGACACCAGGCCCTCTAGGACAGGAACTTGACAGGCCCACCTGTCCTGCCGGGTCCAATAGGAAGGCGGGTGTCAATCACGGATGTCCATTGCTGCCAGAAGATTCTTAAAATCGTTTCTAACCTTGAGAGGGTGGGCTCAGGGTGCAGTCTGGCCAGCACCTGTGTGGAGCCTTCCCAGAGGGGTAAGTCCTAATCCACACTAACAGCTGAAAGCCATTTCAGATGCTGAACTGTGCTCAAGACAGCAGTCTCACAGCTGATCAGAGCAGAGGAAGAAATCCGTGGAAGTTCAACGACACACAGAAGAATGGTTATGAAAACTGCAGAGCAGAGTGCTTCCCGCAGAACAAGAGCAACGTGCCCCTGAGCCTGCGCCAGCAGCCAGGCCGAGCAGTGTCCTGACAGCGTGTCCACAGCACTCACCAAGGGCAGCTGACACGTGCCACTGTTTTGTTTGCTGTAATAATCAGAGGATGAAATTGATTGAAATTGTGGTCAAAATAAATTAAACAGGATTCCCCTGAAACCCAAGAATTTGAAACAAGACCAACACTACACTATTAACCTGATGCAGGACGGGTGGCATGGTGTGTGTGCTGGTGCCCACCCTGCAGGTGCTGCTCTTCACTGCGACATGGGGGAGGAGGCGGCCACCTGTGCTGGGAGAAAGCCTGGGGCCAGGTGTGATCAGGAGGCAATGCTGAGGGGCCAGCAAAGAGGAGACAGGCAGCAAGTACTCCCTGCTGTGCACGTCCCCTCCCACAGTCTCACTCCATGGCAAGGACACTGTTACCCTCACTTCTCAGGTGAGGACAGGAAGACTCAAGGAGGGGAATCTGTGAAGACCAACGGTCAGCAGACCCAGAGGCTGACGTGGATGCAGAGCCCATGTACGCTTTTCCCACCAGGCTGGCCTTGCGGGCCCAAGAGTGGCAATGACGAGGTTCTGAGGTGGGGAGTCCTCAGTGGTTTGGAAGGGCTGCTGCAGTGAGGGAGCGGGGCAGGAGCCAGTGACTGCGGAGTGGAGGAGAGCAGGACAGGGGACAAGGGGCCCAGGCTCTGCACCTCAGTTCCCTCATCTGAAGAGCGGGGACACTGAGGACGGAGCTCGCAAGGTCTAAGAGGACTAAGCAGGCAAGTGCTGGCTCCTGACTGGCAGACAGACCACAGCCAAGCAGGGCCGCGAGCACTGGGCCAGGCGCTTCTGAGCGCTCCCCACCTGCTTCATCTGTCTGCACCCAACGCCCTCGGTCCCTGCGGAGGTCCAGCCCTCTGTCCCTGAGGAGGTCCGGCTGCGAAGGCTCAGGCGTGGCTGGGAGCGCAGACAGGCCCTGCTGTGGAGCACACGCCCTGCTCCCAGCTGAAGCTGCCACCTCTTGTGCTTGTAGTTTATTTTTAGTCAGGTTACATGACAGACACAGTGAAGGGGTTCTGACAGGAAGGAGCGTTCTTCCCTCCCTCTCGTTTGAAGCCAGGTACTCACAATGTGTATAATTTTAAATGTAACAACCTGAGTTTCAAAATATGCAAAATTTCAGTCCAAATATTCTCCCCAGCATGAGTTCTAGCACTTCAATGATCGCTGCTGCCACTGCTAAAGCACAGTAATAACCCAAATCTCACCGGGTGATTGATGCACTAATTGCCTACAGACACGGTGTGGGCTGGGGACACCTCTTCAGCCCAGGGCGGCAGGCAGTGTGCAGTGCTGTTGGCCTCTGTCTACCAGGCAGAGGCTACTCAGTGTGCAAGGCCCATTCCAGGCTGGGGACACTGCTCAGTGGCAAACCATGTGCCCAGCATGCTCAGCCCCTGGCCCCCTCCAAAGGGAGAGGAGTGCCACTTGGGAGGCTGGCAGGAGAATCAAGAGTTTGGGGCCAGTCTGGGGAACTTGGTGAGACCTTGTCTCAAAATAATAAATTAAAAGATGGCTGAAGTGTGGCTGTGTGTGGGCAGAGGGTGAGCTCTGGTGGGCACGTGGAGCCACCGTACAGGGATGTTTAGCAGGGAAGGCGTTGGCGTAGCGGGAGGGTGACACCAGGACCATGTCGTCAAGGCTGGGGTGGCTCGGGGTGAACTGGGCACTTAGTGTGCACAGGTCCTGCCTCTGATCCTTCCTGTACCTGGAAGGAAGCCTGGGGGCTGGTCTCGTATGCCCTCACTCATGATGGTCACATCCTTCTCTGGTCAATGTCTTTGACTCAACAAGGTGCAGAACCAGATGCCCCTCGGTGGGAGAACTTCAGGCCAGCCCTGCAGGACCTTCTCCCCGGCCAGCCCTCGTCCTCTCTGTGCTAAGGCCCCCCTGAAAAGCTGAAGTGAAGATGGGAGAGGAGGGCTCAGAGACAAGCATGGGGCAGGCGCACCCCTTCCTCTGCCAAGCCGCAGTTCTCCCAGAGACCTACCAAGTACCCCCACCCCTCACAGGCAGTGATCCTGGGTCACCAAGCAACAGATCAGTTTATTTAACCAAGACAACTCCTAGTAGGGCAGACAGAAGACCTGCTACCGCCCCAGCCCAGGCTGGACCACACAGCAGGACAGGCTGATGCCACCTGCGCTGGCAGGGTGGTGAAGTCTAGGCCTCACCAGCAGATCTACACCCCGCCAGGTGGGCCACCGAGCGACTGCAGGCCACCTCTCCACTACGGACGCACTCACAGGGGCTTCCCAGGTAAGAGGCATGGTAGGGTGGACTGTCCACAGGCTGTCTTAACAGGGAGAGCGGCTGTGCTGGGAACGAACCCAGGCCTGACACGAGGCAAGGCTCCACCACTGAGCTACTTCCCAGCCAGGTGTGCTCACCTGGAGACAGCTGGCTAGACTGCCTGCGGAACTGTCCTCCAAGCAGCTCCAAGCAGCTGGGATCAGGCATGCCACCCCACCTGGCTGCTGGTGGCACTTTTTAAATAGGTTAGGACTATGTATGGAGATTTTCTTCTAGTTTGCTATTGCTTTAATTTCACCTAGATTTTATGCTGCTCTGGGGTTGGGTGTGGAGAAGGAACTATTTCTTCCCAGGAGTCCTCCACGACCTCACTGACGGGTCAGCCTTCTGAGCTGTGAAGCGCATGCTCTCCAGGGCACTTCCTGCAGACTGAGTACTTCTCCCAGGCTTCGCATTAGGAGGCGCAGACGACAAGGATGATGACGAAGCCGCAGCCTACCACAAACACTCAGGCAGATGCCTGCGATGCGGACTATGTGGGTCTAATGTAAAGCAAGTAAATCAGAGCCATGCCAACCGGCCATTCCAGGCGGGGGTGGTGACGGGCCCTGGCTCGGCACCACCAGGCATTTCAGTACTTTACCTTTCCAACAACCCTTCAAAACAGCTACTTGACTGGTGAAGAAAGTAAGCAGAGAGGTTGAGTAGCGAGTCCAGGTTATAACCAGTAACAGGAGAGCTGAATCCAGGAAGGTGGACCCTGCCCCTTGTGCACCTGACCACCACACCACGGTTCTCTAAACAAGGAGCAAGGTCCTTGCATAAAATATTTTTAATATAAAAACAATGTTTATATGGCCTCAAACTTCAAAACCTGGAACCCCCGGTAAAGTGCATCTTCAAAGTCACAGTGAATGATTTAAGGAAAAAAAACCACCCACGGGTAATTTGTTCAATACAATTTAGACAAATGATGACATCATCATAGAGAAAAAACTCGTGTATGTCTAACAAATGCAGAGTGACTTTTAAGCTTTTATTTCCTCAATTTCTCTAATAAGCATTCATTACTTACTTTTATAATTTGAAAAGCAAGCGCTCTGCTACTAAGCCACGACCCTGGCCCCTGTATGTTAATTTCTTTTAAATATCTATTTTTTACTTGTAGGTGGACACAATATCTTTATTTCATTTTTATGTGGTGCTGAGGATCGAACCCAGTGCCTCACATGTGCTAGGTAAGCGCTCTACCACTGAGCCCCAGCCCCAGCCCTGTATATTCATTAAAAAAAATTTTTGTTTTAGTTGTTGATTGACCTTTACTTTATTTGCTTATTTGTATGAGGTGCTGGGAATTGAACCCAGTGCCTCATACTTACAAGGCAAGTGCTCTACTACTGAGCCACAACCCTAGCCCTTGTATATTCACTTTAAAGGAGAAAAAAGTAAATAAATTTTGCCCTATGTTCAAATCCCAAGGTACTGTAATTTCTACTTAACAAAAAACTTTCTGCCTTTGGCTTTTAGTCAGTTTAATTTTGTGAGAGCTTTCCTCTTGTGCTATAATTAAATCACACTGGCAGAGGATACATTTTTCCATGAAGAACACTGATTGTAAACAAATGATTCAGGGCCACAGCAAGGCCTGAAGAACCTAGCCCAGGAAGTGTGACCCTCTAACTGGAAGAAAAGCCTGGGTTTTGAGTGACTCTAGGAAGCAATGGTGACCTCAGATGACTTCAGGATGGTTCCAAGTTTCTCTGACAGCTTGTGCCTCCCTGGATGGAGGAGGAGGGAGAGGCAGTGATGCCCACAGGTTTTGGTGGCTATAGGAAGACAGAGTAACAGGCACCTCTGGAGAGAATATGACAAGTAGCGCCCCTGGGGCAGAAAGAACTGGGAAAAGAACCAGCAAGTACGGAGTGATGGTCTCGCCTACTG